TCTCTCTTGCCGGTAGCAGAGCGAAACACAGCGGTGAGAAGCAGAGTGCAGCACGTGTGGAATAAATCAGTCCAGACACAAGGCAGTCCTTATCTACTCTTGCCTTTTAATCATGAAGAATAACATCATAAATTCAGACCTGGCGAGAACTGACACATTCTCCCTTTCGCATCACGTCCGAAAGTCAGACTGAAACACACGGAGTCAAACCCCTCCCTTAAGTGTTTCTAACCACGCCTCAGGAAAGAGACGTCACCAGAACTCTTTAACTCTGTGAGTTCTGAAACCCTACTGATTCAAAGGATCTTTTTGAATGATGGACATAGCCCCTGTTTGGGAGACTTTGTAATCTTAAAGCTAATTTTTAAACAGATGACAAATTTCTCTTCTGATTTAAGGCAGATCATTATACAGTGGTATCTCTGGATGCGAACGGGATCTGTCCTGGAGCCCCGTTCGCATCCTGAAATGAACACAACCCGCGTCTGCGTGTTTGCGAGTCGCCGCTTCCGCACATGCGTGACGTCATTTTGAGCGTCTGCGCATGCGCGCACAGCAAAACCCGGAAGTAATGCGCTCTGTTACTTCTGGGTCGCCGCGGAGCGCAACCCGAAAATGCTCAACCTGAAGCTACTTCAACCCGAGGTATTGACTGTATTGGCCTAATATAATGTACTATTGGCCTAATAAATGCAGAAATAAAAACTTTGCCTTAAAACCACTGCATTTCTTTCTCTGGAATTCTCTTTCCAGTACTGCGGAAGGCTGGGCTGCCAACTATTTTTTTCCCCAGTTATTCCTCTTAAGATCAATATTTACTGTTCTGGGGCAAGTTAATTACATCATCTGTGGTCCCCTAACACTGAACACACTGGAGCTAATATAGACCTATCGACAGCAACCTTTGTTGGCCTCTTCTTTGGAGGGTCCAAGGTGGGGCAGTCTTTAAATTTTGGGGAACACTTCCTCTGGTAACTCAGGAAATTATGCCAATGGAGAAAGGACTTCCTCTCACCCCCCCCGCCAAAAAGACTTGCCCTTCATGGTTAGCAGGAAGCAAGACTTAAGCAGAGGTCATCTCCAATTATTGGCACCAATATCCACCTCCAAAAAACACATCTTTTCCTCTCCTTAGCTAAGGAAGTGTGTAGCCCTGCACTCATTACTGCAACAGGGAATTGCAGGTAGAAAACCACTTTTATCTGCCAAATTGCTGTCCCATCCCTCATCCAGAGGGGTAGCCCTACTGGACTTTAATAGCAAAAGCAGAGTCTTGTCACAGCTTAATGATAAAGTTAATGAAGTGGCAGCTAACCCATTGCAAGACACCCATGGCAGCAAGTCTCACCATGTGTACTGTACTCAGAAGTTGTCCTGCTGAATTTAATGAGGCTTACTCCCAGGTACATGAAGTCATGAGTGCAGCCTCTAGCTAGCCTGATTTCACAGTTCAGCATGAACTTATGTCATTCTGTTCCATCAGCCCAAGCATCAGCGAGGTAGAGTTTAGCACCCTGTCAACACTTTGGTTTATAGGAATTACTCCTTCACTCAGTTGTAATGTTATTTAATCACACAGGTGTCCTTTTTATTGCAGCATTTTATTTCATAAACAGGTATTTGATTCAGAATATGGTTATATGTATACGTCCCCTGAAACATAATGGTTAAGATAATTTAACTTCCCATATACATAAAAATGTAAAGGTGTCAATACGCATCCCCTATTGGAGGATATGTAGTTCCCCATTACAATCCTGGATTTGCATGAAGGGAGGAGAGGAAAGAGAAGGCAGGTTGCAGGACAACAAAGGAAAATTGTAGTTTTAAACTACAATTTTTAAGCAGAAATTTGAATAAAGCAGGGATGGGGTAAAAACAGGGAGAAAGTGGTGATTTTTTTTAATGGCAGAGAAGTGGGTAGGGGGAGTGGCAGATTAAAGCAAGGTTAGAGTACAGCTAGAGGGGTGTTAAGAAAGGCTTTTTGGTGTTAGCTTCTGTACATGGGGAAGTTGTCAAAAGGAGAGGAAGGAAACTTGGAGTCAAGGTAAAAACGGTACAAAGCAAGGCTACAGAAGACAAGGGGCATCTGAAAATTTGGTGCAAGGCGAAAAGCATGTTTAGTAGTTGTATGGGCTGGGAAGGGGAAGCTCTGGGGTGGGGTTAGTGTGAGGGGAATGGGAGGAGGGATGGTGAGTGGAGTGTGGCACAACCCTTAAAGGTAAAGGTACCCCTGCCCGTACGGGCCAGTCTTGACAGACTCTAGGGTTGTGCGCTCATCTCACTCTAGAGGCCGGGAGCCAGCGCTGTCCGCAGACACTTCTGGGTCACGTGGCCAGCGTGACAAGCTGCATCTGGCGAGCCAGCGCAGCACACGGAACGCTGTTTACCTTCCCGCTAGTAAGCGGTCCCTATTTATCTACTTGCACCCAGGGGTGCTTTCGAACTGCTAGGTGGGCAGGCACTGGGACCGAGCCCCGCCGCAGGGATTCGAACCGCCGACCTTTCGATCAAGTCCTAGGCGCTGAGGCTTTTACCCACAGCGGCACCCGTGTCCCAGCACAACCCTTAGTAATAAGCTAAGCAACAACTTGCTCGCAGCCACCCAATCAGCTTCCGAGCCAAACAGGAATCCAACATGCAGCATTCTGTCCATTTACACTATACTGGCTTCCAAAGTGAGAGCTCCTTTCTATGTCACGTGTATGTGAAGAAAAAGATGAGGCATGGACCCTGCTGTGTTTGCTTCTAGATAGATATTGTGTTCTCCTAGCTTTTGATCTTGTAAGTAGCAGCTCATGCATACTGAACAAGATTTCTAGTATGACCAAGAAAGTAATCTGCTAACCTGCTCCCCTCCCTGCTCCATCAAGCACTGAATCTTCCCCACCAGCTACTTTGCTTGGCCTTCTGTGACTAGCCCTTTCAAGAGAAATTTCCACAAGTACACACGAGCATGATTTTGTAAAGTTTTTTTTTAATTATTCTTGTCTATCATCACTGAGTTCTTGACTCACTCTTTCTAAATACATGTACAACACAATGACTGCAAAAGAAGGGGAGGTATAAAAGTATTTTTTGCTAATCCAATATGCAAACATACTATGAATGAAAATAGTTGAGGGAAAATAAATTAAAGGTTATATCAACTTCCCTGCTCTTTTTAATGTGTTTCCTATACACCACAAAGATAAAATCAGGGGGCTTATCACCAGCACTGGAAAAGTATATATAAAAAACTAAGGTTCTCCACCCACCCACCCTCCAAGGAATGCCAATAAGCAAGGAATTAATTTTGTGGACCCTGTTACAAGGCTTCTTTTTTGAAAAAGTCCCGGCTGCAGAATAACCAACTAATTTGGGTCACAGGGCAGTGAACAGCCAGGTCAACTAACCTTGTATCAAAGGCCAGCGCTTCATGTTTCTTTCAGCCCCTATTAATTAGTATGAAGCTCCCTTGCATCTTGACAGCAGTGCAGTTCTAGTATTAGGATGCAGAAGTCCCTGGATAAAGGAGGTCAGGGGGTTTGAAATGCCCATCTCATTTACTTTTTGAATGGCCCTCCTTCTGCACAACCCTTTATCATAACTCAGTCTCCTGCACTTACCATTCATTGCCATTTGTCACAAAAGGGGCTGCGAGCCACAATACTTGTCAGGCCCCAAGCTCCTACATTGTCATCAGCTGCAAACCTCAGACAGGGCAATCCATATTTAAATATACACCATTTCCCTGTGAAGTCATTCCCTTCTACACACAGTGATGGGAACTGAAGAGAGTGATCTTGAAATCCACTCCTAGGGCTGACATTAGAACTCTTCAAGCCCACTGGCACTACCAGCTACCTTGGCCTCATCAATGCTGACAACTGCTCTGGTCCTCTCAGCCAAAGACTTATATGGAGGGACAAGATTTCTCACAATGCCAGAAAGGCTGACACTGTCAGGGCATTGTAGGCAATTAAAATGGTGATCAGCTTGCAGCTAGGCAATGCTACTTCATTCCCACTGTTGGTAGCAATGTTAGGGAGAGGCTTGGACCTGCATTCAGACCACAGACTAATAATGCCTGACAAGCCTACAAAATGTGGTCGTCATCTGAGCCTTAGCAAGCCTTACTGTTTCTGAGGCACTGTTACTGAACATAACCCATAAGACTATGGGAGCTGTATCCAGCAAGGCTTTATGCTACATGTTTGAAACATCCCACCCTGACAATCAAAAACAGGTTGCTTCAGTGAACCTCACACCACAAAAAATAAGCAATGAAGAAATAAATATGCTTTAAACCAGATTTTGCACCAATCATTTTAAAATAGTCAATTTCTACACTTGGTATTTGATTGTTTCAGTGACCCTGCTGAAAAAAACCTGTGTTGATTTAATCACAAGTCACAACTTAATAACAGTTGTAAATCTCTATGATTTTGCATATCAACACTCTTTAGATTGTCCATACTTCAGATTATGACTGTTAAGGGTCGTAGCAGGCACCACCTCAGAAAGAGGCTTCCTTCCTGCAAAAGTGGAGTGCAGGAGAGGGGATGACCCTTATGTGTCACCTGCCATTTCAAACAAGATTTCTGAAAGTTGTTATACTAAAAACATTTAAGAACTGCAGCCCAATTAATCAGCACAATTTAAACCACTCAGAATACATTAAACAACTAATCATTTAATTATAGTTGCCCAAGTACTGCGGGCCAATGTTTACTGATGTAAATTTTTGGGGTGTTTGTTCATTTTTATCATTTCATTTAGTCAAAAATGCCAGAGCAGAAAATACATTAACACTTAATGAAAAACAAATACTTAGTAATAAACAGTTTGCAGTTTACTTGAAACAACCTTTCAGTGTTAAGCCTACTATTTAGAAAAACAGAACAAGCCACAAAATGACAGATGTTACAAAGTTTAGAGAAGTTTCTCTGCTGCTGCACCTGGCTTGTGTAAGGAGGGCTGTGTCCATACTGTTCTGCCCATGAGCTGAGAAAGGGCACCTATTGTCCAGAGCCATCTGAATTTGTGGCAGTGCTTTCTGTGCCAAGAGGTTGCACACTGTCTGTGAAGTTGTGAGCGTGTTCAAGAAACAAGTCTTTGAGTACACTCAGTTCCTTTGTCAGGAGCTTGATTTTAGCCTCCAAGCGTTCATTCTCCTCTTTGAGCTGGTTGACCCTCTGCAGAGTATCCTGGGCCTTCTGCTTGCTTTTCAAACGACTCTTTTTCACCGCCATGTTGTTGCGCTCCCTGCGCTGGCGGTACTCATCACTGTTTCTATCAATTGTGGAATTCTTCTTGCCCTGCTTACTGGGAGGCGTAGCTTTGCCTCCACCTCCAGGACTAATAGGCACCAACTGAGGAACCTGCTGCAACCCACTCGCTTGTGCTTGGGTGTAGATGACACTTACTCCGTTGCTTTCTGCAGTTGTGTTCTGCTGTGATGTCTTGCTCATTTGGACAGGCTCTTCTTTAAACCCACAGTATGATTTATTAGAGAAAGTAAGGTGTTCTAGATTGCCAGGATGTTTCTTAAATCTTCACGTGGATCAATCACAAGTTAAACCTAGAATGAAAAAGAAAGTGTTGGGAAATTTCCAATGGCACACCCATAGAATTGTCTTTGTCATCTGCATTAGAAGACTGCATAGAAAAAACACATAGGGGATTCTTCATGTAAATAAGTCGCATCCTTTCCCACTCCAGTATGCCAATCACCAACCATGAGCCAACCTCAATGCCTTGATCTTGATTTTTATTTTATTTTTTCAAAAACCAATTAGGGATATGTGATGCCCCCTGGGACCCTTTATCATCAAATTTCGCCTTAAATAAAGCAAATTGGGGGGGGGGGGTTATTCCTCATTCAAAAAAAACCAAACAAACCAGTTCAAATGGAAACAAAAACAGATCTGATAAAAAATAAAGAAAGAATGAGTTTTCTGAAGTGGGTCCTGAACAGCCCTGTTTCTTGTGTAGGAAAGTTGCACAGGCTACACCCTCTACCAAAAATCTTCAACTTTGTTAGACTTGTGACCCAAGTTCAACATGCAGTAGCTCAAGAACTTTAACGTTTATCAAATACATGCCACTGTTCGAACTGTAACCCAGTTGTGAATTCCAATGCACATCCAGTGTTATAAAAAATTCTGGCATTACAGGCAAAACTGCCAGCCATGCTGCTTTGGCGACTAGCTAAGATGCCTTTAAAAGGACAAATGAAACAGAGGCCAAGCCTATCAATGGCTACTACACCAGGTGCTTCAAAGGCACTGTGTTTTTGAATACTAATTGCTAGGGGTTAAGAATGCAGAAGGGCTACTGTCCTGCTTCCCAGAATCAAGATGCTGAACTAGATGGACTTGTAGCCTGATCCAGCCAGACAACTCTACTAGGGAATGTGGTTGTGCAAGTGTGACAGACAATGATGGTGTGTTGTATTTTTAAAATTCTTCAGTCTGAGCACTCCTGCACTATGCCACACAAAGGTGTCAAATAGTTGTGCAGCCTTTTAAAAACAGAACACAGTCCAGGATGATAACAACCTTCCAGCACAGCAAGTGTTCTACTATTTTAAGTTTTTTTAAATTATTTGAAAACTTAAGTCTCCCAGATTTATTTAAAACAACAACAACAGGGAGTCAAATAGTAAAAAAAGTCCCCATCTTCTGTACCTTGTACAGGAATATTGTACATGCAGGTCCTGCTATCTGAATGCTCGCTATCTGAAAAATTCACTTATCCACACATAAAAAATTACACCCAAACTTTGCTATACATTTTGCAGATTCACATAACCAAACAGCCAACTTTCTTGTTTATTTGTGTTTTGCTGGTCAGCATCAGTCATGGAAAGAGGGAGTGAAAAGATATTGGACCAATCCCACATTAGAAATATTTCCATAAGAAATAATGGAAATTGTGGACTTCTTAATGCAAACATTTGCCTAAGTAATGATTCCCAGGGAATGCATTGTGTTCAGTAAGCCAGATCTGCTGGTACTTGGTGTGCTGTGTACTCAGCAGCAGAAGTTGCATTACTGAGGGAAGGAGTGTCCGATACTACAGCCTACAAAAGATCACAGCAGTACAGGGATACTATATTCTTTACTCCGAATGTATTTTGAGGCTAGGGTTCTGTACTCACTTTTCAGATATTGCAACAAATATTGTTTTGCACAGCCCTATTGGACATCTCTCTCCTTTTCCAATACTTTAGAATTCTTAATTTAACAGATCACTGTTACTATTCATATTCATCTATGTATGTATGTGTCGGCACACATACACAGACAATTAGATGTCCATCAAATTAGCAGAAAAAGCAAAAAATGCTGTGCAATCCATCAAACACTTGGATGAGAGTACTATTTTGCTCAATGAACCTTACTTCTGAATAGATATACAGAAGATTATGTTGCAAGACAGTCTTGAAGTCTTTGGATATTAGCAAATTTGCATTTGAATTATTCTGCTTTAAGGGCATAGGTTGGTGTTCTTGACAGGCATGCAGACATATGTATATGTACACAATGAAGAATATGGTGTTCCTACGGACTGGTAGTTTCAGAATTACAGTTGTCAAAACATATCTGGACTCTGGAATAAATGCAGTTTTTATTTCTATGCCTTCTGCTGAGGGCCTTTACAGCTATTTGACTTGCCTTATTGCCTCACCCTTAGGCAACCTCCCGGCAACATGCCTGGATGTATTGAGCTATCATAAAGACATCCCTAGTGGACAAATGTCTAGCCAGGTCTTAAAAAGCTTCCAATTTCACAACCCTGTCTTGGCAACTGGTCTTACTGTCTAACATTTGCTCTACATTTGCTGTACTTTTAGACACACTTTGCTCAAATCTTTCCAGGTTGAAATGAATACAGGAGTCATGCAAACAAGTATATTTACTCACTTGTAAGTGAGTACAGAGGCTTTTCTTTTCTATCTCCATAATGTCTCCATATATACCTAGTGCAGCTCCTGGACCACCACTTCCCAGGGGCAATTATGAAAAGGATAGCAGGGGCTTGTCTGTTCAGCACTATGCTGCTATGAGATTTATAATGCTTTGTAGGCCCCCATCCTCCTCCCACCCATGGACTATTCCCACACTAATGTGTGGATTCTCACCACCATTCTGCAAGTCCAGGTTTGGGCAGAAGTCCAGGGCTCATGACACTCACCAGAGGGCAAGAACATGCCCTCAGTGGCAAATGAAAGTCTCAAAGCCTGTGCATCATGAAAGCTTAAAGTACAGAAATTTATATTCCAAGCAATGTAGGGGCAGCTGCGTATGTGATTAACCTTCATAACTGCAGATAAGCCAACAATGAACTTTTTATTTTCAAAATTATACCTAATGTTTGGATTTTACATATGTTTAATGCTTGAACCTTTATTATGAACTACCATACTGAAATGTGCACTTTCATAACAGGAAGTAAGCAAGGAATTGCATCCCTAAATATATTGATTCATGGAATTGTAGAATTGCAAGGGACCCCAAGAATCATCTAGTCCAACCCCCCTGCAATGCAAGAATCACAACTTAACATGACATATGGCCATCCAACAATGCTTAAAAACCTCCAAGGAAAGAGAGTCCACTACCATCCAAGGGAATCTTTTCCACTGTCAGGCAGCTCTTACTGTCAGAAAATCCTTCCTAATATTTAGTCGGAAATTCAGTATCTCATCCAAATATTGCAATTTCTAATTATTCCTCTCTAATACGTAGAATGAATTACCATATTTTTTGCTCTATAAGACTCACTTTTTCCCGCCTAAAAAGTAAGGGGAAATGTGTGTGCGTCTTATGGAACGAATGCAGGCTGTGCAGCTATCACAGAAGCCAGAAGAGCAAGAGGGATTGCTGCTTTCACTGCGCAGCAATCCCTCTTGCTGTTCTGGCTTCTGAGATTCCAATTTTTTTTTTCTTGTTTTCCTCCTCCAAAAACTAGGTGCGTCTTGTGGTCTAGTGCGTCTTATAGAGCGAAATATACGGTATTTGCATCCTGGGCTGCCAAACACCCTTATTACATTCACTCTTTGCCTCTTAGCCAAACATGGCTCTATAAAACACATAGCAAATACAACAATCAGCTTCAATAACACACTTAATTCATAAAAGCTGTCCTTAAAAAAGGAAATAAAAAGAAAGGACCTGACCCGCTTTCTAAATGCAATGAGTGAGGTAGCCGGCCAAATCTTTTTTTGGGAAGGTGTCACACAGAGAGGTTGCCATTGCAAAAGGCCCACAACTTTCACTAGCTTCAGTCTAGAATCTCTCAATGTAGCACATGCCCAGCCCTTCCCGAAGCCTAGAAAGTGTTTCCTCTTTTCAGATACACTGCTTTGAGCAGGGGCCCTAGACCTTGGGAGATAAAATTAACCTCCTTTTTTTGTATTAAAAAAAACAACCACCCATCTGATGCCAGAGCAGGATACATTCATAAAATGTAAAAGCAAAATCTACAGCAAGTCAAAAGAGATAAAAACAGCCAGTCAGCTACAGCAAATATCCAAAACTTGTCCAGGTAATTAAATCTCAAAAGGCCTGTGGGAAATTGTAAGTTTTCAACTGACATGCAAACATTTTACCATTATTCTGTTATACATATGATATACACAGGGATGCTATAATTAATCTGTAATATAGGGATAAAATATTGGAAACCTAACTGGCAGAATCCGAGACCAGGGAGAAGAGTTGGTGGAAGAAGATTGGAAGAAATTTAAAGTTTATTTACAGAAACATTGTAAAATTAAGGAATGTTAGAAGGATGTTGGAATGAAATAATGTGGTTTTAGCAGAAATGCTATAAAGGATTAAGAAAAAATAGATTGCTAAATGGTGAAGGAGGGAAAGTAAATTTACATTATATTAAGATAAAATAGAGGACAAAAATTGGAAAAGATGGAAAGGATTTGCTAAAATAGCTAATTGAACTAGAATACAAAAAAGGGAGGTGTGAGGAGGTCAAGGAAATAAGCAAACGAAAGATAAGTTATGAGAAGATTCTTTGTAAATTTTTTGGTTTTTTTTTTCTTTTTTTCTTTTCCTATTATTGAGATGTGATGTTTTGTATCTTTTTAATATGCTGTTTTTTAATTTTTTCTTTTTGTAATCCTTTAAAATCAATAAATATTATTTTTTTAAAAAAAATGGAAACCTAGAGAAATTTGGCTACAGAGGAATCTAGCCAAAGCAAATTAAACATAGGAAGGTCAATGCCAACAGCATATGGACCCCTTTGAAGGCTTAACAGACCAACACCGAGGCTGAAATCCTACGAACACCTACCTAGGAGTTCAAAGGCTCTGCTACTGAGTAGACATGCATAGAACTGCACTGTACGGCAACAACTTAAAAACACAAGCAAGGAGTGACCAATTCCCAAAATAATTTGTCAGGATGGACAAACAGAAGAGCCTCTTTCCTTCAGCTTAAGTGAAGAAACCTATTGGGTATAAAGTTTAATGACAGAGCCAAGATGTTTAAGTACATCAGCAAGAGGCAATACTGCCATCACCCGATACCCAAAGCCAGATAAGGTATTTTCAGAATAGAACACTGAGCCTCATTTGCCTTGCTGCAATTGTAAAGAAAAGAATAGGATGCACCCAAAAGGTGTGGTCATATTATGCTGGAAGTTTTCCCCACAGCACTGTCCCCATGGAAACTGAAGGCTGAACAGAGTAATGAGGAAGACACATAAAAAGAGATGCCATTTCTTTCTTGTAAAATGAATTCTGCTGTGAGGAGTTCTGGACCTTACACTCTGGAAAAAGCTCTTCAAGAGAATGATCCAAATACACAGAGGCAGATTTCCAGCTACCTTGTTAACTCACAAATGCAACACTTGCTTCCTCTTGCTCAAATTAGCCTCTTAGAAAGGTATAAGCAGGCACAACCATTTGTTACAAGGAAGTAGCCAAGGCAGATTTCAAGTTCATTTCCTTATTACAGCAACATTATTTTTAAAAATCCAACTTATACTTCAATGGTGTGTCGTTTACAGTTTATTTTAGCATAATTTTCAGACCAAGCTGCTAAAGTTTTTTGTTTGAAAAATTAAAGAAAATACTGAAATTAAAGATGGGAAGAAGGGAGGCGGGGAGAGACAGAATCAGAAAAACTGAATAAAGCAGAAATGCTGAGTGTCTTAAACCATCTTCTAATGAGAAAACCCCCTGGGATGGCCACACAAGAGGATAAAGCAATTTTCTAATATTGTCTGCAAGAAAAACATACTAGCATAACTGGTCCTACATCAGTATCATAAGAACAGATTTAAGATAAACATTTACACCAATTTAAAAGAAAAGGTATGCAAGCAGTTATAGTAAGCCTGCTTTTGCCACTCAGCATGGTAGTCTTAATGTTGTACTGCAGCATCAGATAATGCAGACGCATCTATTTCTTTTACCAAGTCTGTAGAGTGTAGGCTATGCACTGGACATAAGGTTTGCAAGTGATCAAGGTAGTTTTCACGGAGGGGGATATGCTCTGGATATTAGTTTGATGGGCACCTTTCAAATGACTGTGGCCCAAGAAGTCCACCACTAACACAACAAATGTTACAGAAATACACAATAAAACCATCAATACAAATAAATATATACAGAAAACCATTCCTTTTCCTTCTTACACATCTCTCCACTCAACACCTCTCAGTCTCCTGGCTGTTAATCAGGACTTCAGCCATCCACCCTATCTTTCAATAGCTATGGTTGCCGCAGTTATCTACAGTGATGATGTTGTGAGGGTGATGAAGAACAGCATATGGCACTTGAGATAAACTGTGCATGCTGAAGATAGGAAGTGAGCTAATTCCCAGCAAATGACACACAAGTGCAGTAGAAGCCCTGAGCCTCAGGTTTGTCACAGAGCATCCCATGCCTACTGCCACCTTTTGTTTTATTCTTATTGAAGTCTAATAACAGAAAAGAGAGGTATACATTTTTAAAAACAATCCAAACATAATAAAATGCAAGAGAAATATCCACAGCAGCAGATGATCTCAAGTCAGCCTCCCCACAAAAAACATGTTTTCCCCAAGATAGCAGGACATATATAATGGGGCCAGCCAGACCTGTTTCCCTGGGGTATCACATCCTGTCATACTCAGCTACTTCACTCTAGTTGGCAGGAGACTATTGAGAAATAATAATATTGATTAGGATACATGGCAGAAAGGATATGGGAGTCAGGTAAAGGTACCTCTCTTGCTGCTTTAGAATCTATACCTGTTGCTAAAAGCTCCATCCCACCAACCCTAGCTGGCTAATACCATGGCTGCCTCACTGGAACAGGGCTCTCCATTTTATTTTTATTTTTTTGTGAGAACTGAATATTGCTCTCTAAGCCCTTAAACAGCACCAATACTAACGAAGGAGAGAAGCCATACCATTCAATGTTCAACAAAGTCTGGAAAGTCAAATATGAAGTTTCTAGGTCTCTACAATAACAGCCCCCAGACACATTTAAAAGGCCACAGAATGTTAATCAGCCAAACGACTGGTTGAAGAGAAACATTTTCACCAGGAGCCTAAATATTTCAGTGGATTTACTCCTAAAACTTAGTTGCACACAATCCAAGAACTATGAACACTGCACTGAGCATCTTGGAGTAAAGGCAGATATAATTGTAGCAAATAAAACTTCAGTGGTGACCACTTGGTGAGCCCAGAAAAAACTGACTGGCAGCCCACAAACTAGCGCTGCCCGCCCCCCAGGACCTTCGTAGCTCTAACAAATTTGAATCAAGGGATGGTAAAATATTTGGCTACAGTTTCAAGTTACATTAAAAAAGCACTGAAATGTGACACTGAAATGCCAAAGGAGGTGGGTAAACTATGCCAAAGCACAGGTGCTCCATACTTACAAATCAATATATACTTGTACACAGCAGCAACTTTTCTATCATGAGGGTGTGGCTGGTAGTGAGAATAGGAAAAGTGGCAATCCCTCTTAAAGACAATGTGTCCTTTAATGTGTTCACCCTTGCTTCTAATTGTCCCCATTTTAATAGTAGTATCTCAGGCAAAGTAATGTTGTATCCTGAGTGGCAGATCTTAATACATTTAAAAGTACATTGCAGGATTTCACAGAGGTTTCCAAAAGTGTAAGACCTGAGACACATACAGGAAAAAGTCACAACTTCCCTCAGAATCTATAGGACTTGTATGCACAACATGGATTTTATTTTACAGAGCAGACTTCCCCAGCCTGGTGCTCTCCAGATGTCCTGGATTACAACTTCCATCATCCCCAGCTAGCACTGCCATGCTGGCTGGAGCTAATGAAATCGTAATCCAAAATGTCTGGAGGATATCAGGTTGGGGACAGTATTTTAGCAATGCATTAGGCTGGGCATAGGATTTTAGCAATGCAAGTTATTTCAAAGATCACTGGCTGCAGACTCCCTGGCAGAAAAAGCAGCTAGTTTTGAAACCAAGAATGTTATAATAATCCTAGAATACATGTCAAATTTAATTATTATTTTTTACATTTCCCCTAACTTGGGAAACAGTTTTCACTTTTGCCTTCATCTAACCACAGACAGGAGCCCTAGCCTCAATGCTCAGTGTCCTTACATGCTGAACAACTCTTTATCAACATGACAATTACCATTTCCTGAAACTCCTGAGAGCACAGAGGAGGTAGGTGCACAGGCTGACCTACGAACAGCAAAGCCCAGACTTGTGCCGATGTGTACGGAAACTGAAACGTGGAGAAGAGAGAATTGTGGGAAACGCTTGTGATCGCTCTTCTGTTAAGTTCGCCCTGAGCTGGATTTGTTTCTTGTGGGTTTAAAAAAAAAAGGAGAAGGCTCGCCTCAACACAAGTAGGGGCAAGGAACGAGCGGCCCAAACCAGCTGCATTCGGAATCAAATGTCCTGGGAGCTTCTCTAAAAAAACAGAACAGGTTATTAAGGGAAGCCTGCAGCTTTGCAGCTCAGAGCCTGGAAAGAAGGTGCAGCCTAAGAAAGACCCTTTAGGCAGGCTAAGAAGGGTGGACTCAGGCACTCTCTCGCTCTCTCTCCCGCTCCCTCCCTCCCCTGGGGGATTTCCCATGTGCCAAGACATGACCTCATCTCAGCAGGGACGAAGGCAGAGTTGCTCGAAGGTTGCATCATACTTCAGAGAGAGAGAGAGACAGAGACGCGCTCCAGACACGCGCTCCTCGGCACGGCCGGCGGGTCCCCCTCCGTGGGGAAGCCACGCGCCTCTCGCCCCGGCTATGGGGCACAGATGCTCCTACCTTAGAGGCCCCTAACCCTCCAGCCCCCGCTCCCCACTCCCTCCTGCCCCATACAGAAAAACATGGGAAACTCTCCCCCCTCCACACCACGAACCCCCCTCCTCTTTACCCCACATCACTATTACCACCACCACCACCACCACCCCCCCACACACACCACCCCACACGTTTCTGGGCCTTCGCGAGCCACCGTGACAACTCCCTGCTCTGCGGTCGGCCCTATACTGGGGAAGTAAATATACACATATAAACAAACAAACACATTCCTTGGGAGGGGGAGCTCTCACCCCTCTAGCCGCGTTTGGCACCGCCCCCAATCTGCCCCATAGGCGCCTCCCCAACCCCTTTAACGTCCCGTTTATAAATCCCCACAACAAGTGGGGGGGGAGGGTGATAGAAGCCCTTCTGAGGGGGGGGGCCCTCTCGCGTCTCCTTCTTCCCGCCATGCCTGCCCCTCTCCATGCCCCCTTTTCCTCCTGCCCCATAGGGAAGGAAGACGTTCTCCCCGGCCCCGCCCAGTCTCGTGCCGTACCTGGCCCAGGTATCGATCCGGGGGGCTGCGCGGGGAGGGGGGGAGGCGCGAGCCCGGCCAGGCCCGACTCGCTTTTTCTCTTTCTCTCTCTCGATTCTTTCCAAACGCGGGGAGGGGGGGGGCAAGAGAGGGAGAGAGGCGATTGCGAAACCGGACCCAACCAATCAGGCTTCGGGCTACCTCAGAGTTGAAGCGGCCCCTTTAATCGGATTGGCAGCTACCGTGACCAATAGAAGATCGCGTTGCCAGAGACTGCCATCCCCAGGCGTCAATCCGAGACCTAGGTGCTTGGAGTGGCAGGTTCTGAAGCCAATCATATGCATCGCCTCCTGTTTTTTTTTCTTGTGTAAAAGAAGTAGGCGGGATGGTTGAAGGTGTTCGGGATTCTTTTGCATTTTTTTATCCTTGCCTGTACCCCACACCCCTTCAAAGGCAACTTTTGAAGTAACTTTCAATATAGAAGTGTTCCTGGATGTTTCCTATAGGCCCCCAGTCGTACTGCCTAATGGGGCCTAACTACTGGCGTTAGGAGGTCTAGATTCAGGTAGAACAATCTAGAGTTCGCGGTGGACCGAGGAGACGGCCAAGTTTGCTGATGGGTGGTTAAGACAAAAAGGGGTTGCGAAGAGCTCCGAAAGCACCTCTCCAAGCTGGCTGAACGGACAGAAAAATAGCAAATGCAATTCAATTTAAAAAATAAATAAATTGCATAAACTGATGCACATTTGGGGCAAAAAAAATCATAATAATCTCAATTTCACATATACTGTTCGCTCATGGGCCTGACCAGGAATGATACCTTGGGGTTGTAATGGATACATTGATTAAGATGGTGATCCAGCGTGTGGCAGCACTGCCTTAGGACTGGACTATGTACTGGACTAAGACATGGGAAACCAGGGTTCAAGTTCCCACTCAGACATGAAGCTCGGAGGATGTCCCTCTGCCAGTTACTGCCTCTCAACCTAATGTATCACATTGGGATGCTATGGAGATTAAATGAGGGAGAACCATGTATGCCACCTTCTTGAGCTCCTTGGGGGGCAAAGGTGAGATCTACATGTCAATGCAATAAATCCATTAAATAAAAAAGGCAAGTTCTATGCTAGGGATGCGGGTGGCGCTGTGGTCTAAACCACAGCCTAGGGCTTGCCGATCAGAAGGTCGGTGGTTCGAATCCCCATGACGGGGTGAGCTCCCATTGCTCGGTCCCTGCTCCTGCCCACCTAGCAGTTCGAAAGCATGTCAAAGTGCAAGTAGATAAATAGGTACCACTCTGGCGGGAAGGTAAATGGCATTTGCGTGCGCTGCTTTGGTTCGCCAGAAGCAGCTTAGTCATGCTGGCCACATGACCCGGAAACTATCTGCAGACAAAGCCAAATCCCTCGGCCTATAGAGTGAGATGAGCACCGCAACCCCAGAGTCGTCCACGACTGGACCTAACGGTCAGGGGTACCTTTCCCTTTCCCTTTATGCTAGGGAACATTAGGGAAGGAATTAGGGGGAGGGCAGGAACTACTGATACCATGCTGCTATACAAATCTATGTGCAACCACATTTGGAATGCATTGTACCATTCTGGTCGCCTCACTTAAAAAAGGCATATTGCAGAGTTGTAAAAGGTTCAGACGAGGGAAACTAGAATGATCATGGGGATGAAGCAATTCCCTTATGAGGAAAAGTTGCAGCGTTTTTCACTTGGGGAGAAAAGGCCAGTGAGAGGCAGCATGACAAAAGTTTATAAAATTATATATATATGTGTGGAAAAAGTGGATAGTGAACAGTTTTTTCTCTTTCATAAAATAAGAATTTGTCAACATCTAATGAAGCTGGACCAAGGGACGCAGGTGGCGCTGTGGGTTAAACCACAGAACCTAGGACTTGCCGATCAGAAGGTCGTGGTTCGAATCCCCATGATGGGGTGAGCTCCCGTTGCTTGGTCCCTGCTCCTGCCCACCTAGCAGTTCGAAAGCACCTCAAAGCGCAAGTAGATAAATCGGTACCGCTCCGGCGGGAAGGTAAACGGCGTTTCCGTGCGCTGCTCTGGTTCACCAGAAGCGGCTTAGTCATGCTAGCCACATGACCCGGAGGCTGTATGCCAGCTCCTTTGGCCAGTAAAGCGAGATGAGCGCCGCAACCCCAGAGTCAGTCACGACTGGACCTAATGGTCAGGGGTCCCTTTACCTTTTAATGAAGCTGGACCAGGGGTGCCAACTTAAATAAAATAATCACAAGACGCAGCACACACACACACACACCCATTTGAATAGCAATGCCCATCAACTTGAGGGGGGTATACCCTTCAAATATTTTATGGGGGAGAAGGGATCTTGGCCCTGAGGACTTGGCTCCTATGAGCTAGACTGTGGAGGATTCTAGACAGATAAAAGAAATGACTTTTTAATGCAGCACGTAGTTAAGCTATGGAACTCTCTCCCACAAGAGGCTTGGATGGCTTTAAAAGAGGATTAGACAAATTCATGACAAAAAGGCTATCATGGAGGAAAGGGCTATCAATGGCAGTTTAGCACACAAGGTGGAGAAATTTTCCAGACCATCTAGAGGAATACATTTTGCAGCTTTAATATATCTTAAATCTGCATTTGACTATCTGTAAGGGAAGACTTTGGCATAAAGTGTTTCATTTCTTATCAGTGTGCTTCAAAAATTACACCTTGAATACAGTGGCGGAACTTCAAGCTCCGGCGGGGGGGGCGGAGAGGAGGCGGGGGCATGGCTGGCATGCGTCCCGGGGGCATGACGTGCTGCCCGCAGGGGCATGGTGCGCGTCCTGGGGGTGTGGTGTGCCACCTGCGGGGTGTGGCACCCAGCGCGGGGGGGGGGGTAGCCACAATGGTACCCCACCGGGATCGTGCCTCCAGGGGCAGTGCGCTCCCCACCCCACCCCTGTTCCTCCGCCAGTGCTTGAATATCTCAGGGCATGTCATCTAATCCTGTATCAATCACTGAAGGGGTTAAAAAAGGGTGTATTTGTGATTAATTGTATTTAAATAATTTAGTCCGCTGTTGCATAATTTATGAACTGCATCCACCTATATTGGCAGGTGTTAGATAGTAAATTCTCCTGGCATCAGGACACTTCGCAGGGAGGATATTTCTTTTAATTTAAAATCTACTATTCTTCTGCATACCTAGGAGATTCCCCAAGTATGTAAGACCCACACCCTTATTTTGGGGAGAGGTGGAAGACTGTTGCACTTCCAGACTAATTGGCACTCAACCGAGTTCCTCTAGGAAGGAATGATGGATGCCGTCCTTAAGATTGCTACAGGATTTTCAAAGCCTCCAAGCAAGTCTGAATTAGAAAAAGTAGCATCCATTTGGAAATGAGTGATGCTTTTTTCTCATGCCTGGGCTTTACTGAGTGCCACGCCTGTTCTTTACTCCAAAAGCTGTGAGGGTTTTTGACAGCTTGGTGGAGGCTGGAGCACATTTCCAAGGAGTTCATTAACCGCAGGACAAAAACCCACACCCATAATTATTAGGGCATTTATAAAACATTCTCCATAATACACATAATAGTAAGGAAAGGTACCCTGTGATTCATAGTAAACAAATCTAGCTATTAAGCAAGATTCTTAGACTGAGGCAGGGCTGGAGGGTTGGGGGAGAGAAAGCTTCAACTGTTTTCAAAAGGCTGCTTGATAGATCAGAACTTGCCAGCAGGGAAACCAAGCCAAGCACATGGAATAATAGAGAGCATATTGTTTTTTGCAAGTTCAGTTTTGCAGTCAGAATGGGGTGAAACATATGACCATATATATCCTGCAAGTTTTGGATTACACTTCATGCATCTGATAAATGTTGGGCTTGTCACCTGCACTGTAGCAAGCCACTTTGGTGACTGATGCCCACTGGAGCAGGGAGTTCAACAGAGGAGGAGGCTGATAGATAGTGCCCTCCCTTGGATTTGTTTGTAAGTAAGAAGGCAGGCAGGTGGAGGCTGGATGAGGTGAGGAAGTTACTGAGGCAGTGCCCCATTTGCCCCAACAGACCAGCTTCCACTGATAAACAATATCCCCAAATTCCAGTCCTCCAAACTTTTTTTCTTTCTGGGAAAAAATCCCACCTAGAAAGATCTCAAGACATGAGTTGAATTGTGCCACAGAGATGCCTCTTCATTGGTCTAAATGGAGGGCACATTATTAGCCTAGGGGACACATTCCCTTCTAGGCAACATGCCTGTGGGGGGTGGGTTCAGAGGCAAAGGGGGGTGGAGCAACAAATTTAAATTGTACCTATGTACAGTGGCCTAGTTTCTATGCACCATCT